AACGCGGGGAAGAGCAGAGAATTGGAGCGTAGGGTAAGGACGGGGAACGGGGGGGGGGGTACGGGGAAGGAACGCTTTTAAAAGAACGATGAGAGGGTTAGGGGAGAAAAATGATGGGAATGAGAGGGAATGGCGGATGAGACGGGGATGGCGAGAGGCGCAACGCATTGGACAATGCCTATCCTGCATCCACGCCGTTCCTCTCAGCGCGCCATTCCCTCACGCCACGCCATCAGCGCGCCATTCCCTCACGCCACGCCATCAGCGCGCCATTCCCTCACGCCACGCCATCAGCGCGCCATTCCCTCACGCCACGCCATCAGCGCGCCATTCCCTCACACCACGCCATCAGCGCGGCGTTCCCGCCACTTCAACGACCCCTCATCGTCTGCGCGCCCGTCCGCCGTGAGTGTGTCTCCGCAGCCGTGCGAACTCTCGCCGCTTCACACACCCCCCCACCCTTCCCCCCCTTCCCCTCCCCCCCTCATCCTCCTCCCCCCTCTTCCGCGCGCACCTGCAGCTTGCATTTGGGAATGCTCTTGCACGCCGCCACCGCCTCGCCCGTCGCCACGTCGCCGCACATCCGTACCACGCCGCCACCGCCTTTGCCCAGCTCCCGCCCCAGCTGGTACCGACTTCTCACATCGGCCCGCGACGCGGACGGAAAAATAGGGTTCGGAATGGTCATCGCGGCGGGGAAAGCGAGGAGGAACCGTTGCTAGATTAAAAAGGAACTGATATGTTTTCTAAGTGAACGGCCAGATCGTCGCTGTTTTGGCGAAAACTGTGTGTCTTAGCAACGAAATCGCGGAAGGTAAGGGGACATCGCGAGGAGTAGTCTCATGTCGAAGCTTCGAAAAGCGTATGCAATCGCGAACGCCGCCCTGAAAAGGTCTCAAGGCTCAAACTCTCGCCTTCTGATTCAATACCTCACAGTCAGAACGCCAAGCACCTTACTGAACCGCAATCACCAATGGCTGGGTGGGAGGAGACGCCATAAAAAGTGCTGGAACAGTGCAGAAGGTGAGAGCTCAAGGAAAAATCCCCCCCAAGTACGAATTTCGGCAGATGGGCGGTGAGGAGAACGTCGCCTGCCTCGCACGGATGGTGAGCGTCGCCTTGGATTGGCGGATGTGTCGCGAATTGCTCGCAACTCAACTGGACCATCGCAACTGTGCCGCAGGTTAGATTCTCACAGTAATACAGATCCGACCTTCAGGTGAGTCCGACAATACAGCGACACGCTGACAATAAGTGTACTGACATATAATCTGCCAGGTTGGACTGCTAACAGAACTAGCAAGAAAAAGTGCTTGGACATGGAACTGAATAATGAAGGGCCACAAAAACTATATCATTAGTGTTGTGCTACCACCATAAATTACTCAAGCCTCCAAGTATTGAATGAAGCGGATTAGCATATGTGACGATGCGTGCACAACGGAGACACATGCATCCATTCTGCAAGCGGACACGGCGCTGAGGGCAGTCAGCGTGGCGAGGGAGTGTACATGCCGTTGCCTCTTGTGGACTCCAATCTGGGCAGCACAGAGGCACACACAAGGAATGGCAGGTGAGCGCATGGCAGGCAGCACCGTGGCAAGTGAGACGATGTGTTGTGATGCCAGCCAGTCTGATCCACGGGCCCCAATAAATCACAGACTCATGGTGTGTCTGGCATGGGCAATGAAGTGAGCATGGGGCATATGGTCAAGCAGGCACGTGGGCTTGCGAGCAGGTTAGATGTGGGAACGTGAGCATACGGGCATGTGGGCATGCAGCGTGCTCGAGGCTGATGCATCACCGTGATACGTTCCAATGACGGGCCAGCAAGGGAGAGATGGCACAGGCAGCAGGGATGGCGAAACAGCAGCCAGGTTAGATGAAGGCAGGGGGTCGGGGAGAGCATGGAAGGAGGGACAGCAAAGCAGCAGGTCGGGGGAGGAAGGGAGAGGGGAGGGCAGAGGGGAGCACACAAGGGTGCAGGGGCAGATTTACGAGTTATAGCATGCTAGACTAATGTTACTGTTTGGTTTGTGGTGTAGAGTTAGGTTGAACATGTAGGTATCCCTTTTGAGTATACATGTGTGTTGGCGTGATGAATAGGAATAACCAACAAGCTGTGGTAATAACCAACAAGCTGTGGTAATAACCAACAAGCTGTGGTAATAACCAACAAGCTGTGGTAATAACCAACAAGCTGTGGTAATAACCAACAAGCTGTGGTAATAACCAACAAGCTGTGGTAATAACCAACAAGCTGTGGTAATAACCAACAAGCTGTGGTAATAACCAACAAGCTGTGGTAATAACCAACAAGCTGTGGTAATAACCAACAAGCTGTGGTAATAACCAACAAGCTGTGGTAATAACCAACAAGCTGTGGTAATAACCAACAAGCTGTGGTAATAACCAACAAGCTGTGGTAATAACCAACAAGCTGTGGTAATAACCAACAAGCTGTGGTAATAACCAACAAGCTGTGGTAATAACCAACAAGCTGTGGTAATAACCAACAAGCTGTGGTAATAACCAACAAGCTGTGGTAAATAACCAACAAGCTGTGGTAATAACCAACAAGCTGTGGTAATAACCAACAAGCTGTGGTAATAACCAACAAGCTGTGGTAATAACCAACAAGCTGTGGTAATAACAACAAGCTGTGGTAATAACCAACAAGCTGTGGTAATAACCAACAAGCTGTGGTAATAACCAACAAGCTGTGGTAATAACCAACAAGCTGTGGGAATAACCAACAAGCTGTGGTAATAACCAACAAGCTGTGGTAATAACCAACAAGCTGTGGTAATAACCAACAAGCTGTGGTAATAACCAACAAGCTGTGGTAATAACCAACAAGCTGTGGTAATAACCAACAAGCTGTGGTAATAACCAACAAGCTGTGGTAATAACCAACAAGCTGTGGTAATAACCAACAAGCTGTGGTAATAACCAACAAGCTGTGGTAATAACCAACAAGCTGTGGTAATAACCAACAAGCTGTGGTAATAACCAACAAGCTGTGGTAATAACCAACAAGCTGTGGTAATAACCAACAAGCTGTGGTAATAACCAACAAGCTGTGGTAATAACCAACAAGCTGTGGTAATAACCAACAAGCTGTGGTAATAACCAACAAGCTGTGGTAATAACCAACAAGCTGTGGTAATAACCAACAAGCTGTGGTAATAACCAACAAGCTGTGGGAATAACCAACAAGCTGTGGTAATAACCAACAAGCTGTGGGAATAACCAACAAGCTGTGGTAATAACCAACAAGCTGTGGTAATAACCAACAAGCTGTGGTAATAACCAACAAGCTGTGGTAATAACCAACAAGCTGTGGTAATAACCAACAAGCTGTGGTAATAACCAACAAGCTGTGGTAATAACCAACAAGCTGTGGTAATAACCAACAAGCTGTGGTAATAACCAACAAGCTGTGGTAATAACCAACAAGCTGTGGTAATAACCAACAAGCTGTGGTAATAACCAACAAGCTGTGGGAATAACCAACAAGCTGTGGTAATAACCAACAAGCTGTGGTAATAACCAACAAGCTGTGGTAATAACCAACAAGCTGTGGTAATACACAACCAAACAGCCTTTGCCCCACTATTGTGATTGGTTCTTCCAACCACATGTTGGGACCAACGGTAGTTGCCCCTCCCAACCACCACTTTGCCCTCAACCGCCTCTTTCCCTTGCAGCCTTTCTACTTCTCCTCGCACATCCGTTTGTTACATCACACCACTCGTGCCGGTACCAACGCACTCCCTTCCTCGCTCCCTCCTGAAGCATAATTCTCCTCTGCTGCCTCTTCCTCCTTGTCTCCCACCGTTGCTTTTCCTTGCCTCCTTATCAACCTTCCCATCAATCTAGCCCCGCTCACTCCACTCTCTTGACTGTGTCCGCATGGACCAATGAGGGTCATCGTGACCCCTCCCCCTCATGCTCTCCCGCCCGGCACCAGGGCGACCACAGCATGTACTCCAGGGCGACCACAGCATGTACTCCAGGGCGACCACAGCATGTACTCCAGGGCGACCACAGCATGTGCTCCAGGGCGACCACAGCATGTACTCCGCAATCTCTTTCCTTCATACCAACGCTGATGCTCTTGTTGCCATCGCCTGCTGGCCCAAGCACTCCTACACTCACCTTGGCTGCCCGATCAGTCGCCTCCACTCGGATTTTGAAGAGGGGATTCTTAACCCCCTTGTTGCCACCTACTCATTCATTCGCTCCCGCACTCCCCTAGTGTGTTGGTTGTCGGTGCATGTGCCAACACTAAGATTCGCTCATTGAATGTCTTGAGGGCACAAGCGGATCTTCATGCAGCGACCCTTTCATCTCATCCAATCTTCATGCAGCGACCCTTTCATCTCATCCAATCTTCATGCAGCAGCCCTTTCATCTCATCCAATCTTCTCTTCCGGAACAGTGTCAAAGCTTCGCCACCTGGGAGTGACACGCCTAGCTCACTGCCACCTTGTAGTCCATACGCTTCACTGCTTCTCACCCTCACAACAAAATGCTGATTCCCTCCTCTTCTCCTCGATTCTTCATTCTTGCTTATGTTCCACCAACCAACCTGTCCGCCAACCCCCCTCCATAAATTCACTTGGGCGAGACTTCATCTCGGGCCCCACCTTGCACTCACGAATCTGTCAGTTGTGTGATCATCATTCTCGTTTCCGATCACCCAACTGGCTCGACGCCGACAAAACAGTCACTGCGTGCGTGCTGCCCGCTCATTGCAAGGACGTAGGTGAGCTCTAAAACCACACGGGTGTCCCTACTGGTGACTATGCTGCCCGCATCATCACCTTCTCCCACTCATTTCATATCCAGCACGGCTTGGAGGCGCTCGGAATGACCAAAGCCTAGCTGGTGGCCCTCCCTCCCCCTCCAATCAGCACCTCATCGCACCCTCCTCCCACCCGTGCGCTCAGCTAGTCGGCTTGCTGCTGTACGCCATGATGTGCACCTTCTCCACCTCAGCATTCTCGTTCTAGTTGGTTGGCCTCGACACGTTTATACGAGGTGGCCATACGAGGGAGCAAGGAGGGAGGCATGGGACAGAGCAGGCACGGGAATAGGACAGAGCAGGCACGGGAATAGGACAGAGCAGGCACGGGAATAGGACAGAGCAGGCACGGGAATAGGACAGAGCAGGCAGGGGAATAGGACAGAGCAGGCACGGGAATAGGACAGAGCAGGCACGGGAATAGGACAGAGCAGGCACGGGAATAGGACAGAGCAGGCACGGGAATAGGACAGAGCAGGCACGGGAATAGGACAGAGCAGGCACGGGAATAGGACAGAGCAGGCACGGGAATAGGACAGAGCAGGCACGGAAATAGGACAGAGCAGGCACGGGAATAGGACAGAGCAGGCACGGAAATAGGACAGAGCAGGCACGGGAATAGGACAGAGCAGGCAGGGGAATAGGACAGAGCAGGCAGGGGAATAGGACAGAGCAGGCAGGGGAATAGGCCAGAGTAGGCAGGGGAATAGGCCAGAGCAGGCAGGGGAATAGGACAGAGCAGGCAGGGGAATAGGCCAGAGCAGGCAGGGGAATAGGACAGAGCAGGCAGGGGAATAGGCCAGAGCAGGCAGGGGAATAGGCCAGAGCAGGCAGGGGAATAGGCCAGAGCAGGCACGGGAATAGGCCAGAGCAGGCAGGGGAATAGGACAGAGCAGGCAGGGGAATAGGCCAGAGCAGGCAGGGGAATAGGCCAGAGCAGGCAGGGGAATAGGCCAGAGCAGGCAGGGGAATAGGACAGAGCAGGCAGGGGAATAGGCCAGAGCAGGCAGGGGAATAGGCCAGAGCAGGCAGGGGAATAGGCCAGAGCAGGCAGGGGAATAGGCCAGAGCAGGCAGGGGAATAGGACAGAGCAGGCAGGGGAATAGGCCAGAGCAGGCAGGGGCATAGGAGGCAGCAGGAAGAGGCATACGAGGGGGCGAGGTGGCCGAGGTGGGAGACGAGGGCGGAGGAGGCGGCATCGCGCAGGTGCCCCGACGCGTCCAGAGTGTAGTGCCGCTGCGCTGCCCCCGGCATGCCCCGCCGTGTGAGCGGCGCCAGGTCCCGCTGGCACAGCTCGCGCCCGTTCACCAGCACCCGCGTGCGCCCCCCCGCACAGTCCCGCCTCATTGGCTCCCTCAGCTGCGGTATGTTCGCCTGGGGGCGGAGGGGTGGGGGTGTAGGGGCAGATGGGATTGGCGGGGTGAATGGGGAAAAGGGGGTGAGAAAGGGAAGGGGGAGACCAGGTGGTGAAGAAGGGGGGAGGGAAGGAAAGATCCGAGTTGAAGGGTTGGAAGGGGAGGTGGCACGTGCGGTGGGACCAGCAAGGACGAGTGTGTGAAGGTGTGAATGAATAGAACCAACTTGTGTAGTGCATGAATGATGCAGGAGAGCAGGGAGGTGCAGAGGCGTGAAGAGGTGCTGGGAGGTGCAGAGGTGTGAGGAGGTGCAGGGAGGTGAAGGGAGGTGCAGAGAGATGCAGGGAGGTGCAGAGGCGTGAAGGGGTGCTGGGAGGTGCAGAGGTGTGAGGAGGTGCTGGGAGGTGCAGAGGTGTGAGGAGGTGCAGGGAGGTGAAGGGAGGTGCAGAGAGATGCAGGGAGGTGCAGGGCAGGGAGGTGCAGAGGCGTGAAGGGGTGCTGGGAGGTGCAGAGGTGTGAGGAGGTGCAAGGAGGTGCAGAGGTGTGAGGAGGTGCAAGTAGGTGCAGAGGTGTGAGGAGGTGCAAGGAGGTGCAGAGGTGTGAGGAGGTGCAGGGAGGCGCAGACGTGTGAAGAGGTGCAGGGAGATGCAGGGAGGTGCAGGGAGGTGCAGAGGGGTGCAGGGAGGTGCAAGGCGGAACTCACAGGCAGAATACCGAGGCTGGGTCCACCCATGACTCCCCAGAAGCCAGCTCGCATGTCGTACCTGCGGAGGGGTGTAGGGGCGCAGCGCGGGACAGTGGGGCAAGCTGAGCGAGCAAGCACGGCTGGGACACACGGACTTGTGTGTCACAAGGAATTGCGGGAGAGCGAGAGGGAGAGGAGGTGGGAAGACGGAGGAGGGGGTGGGACGATGGAACAAGGTAAAGGGAGTGAGAGAGAGCAAGGTTCGAGGAGGTTTGGGAAGGTGGAGGAGAAGGAGGTGTGGGAGAGAGGAGGAGGGGGGAGGAGGGGGGCACCAGTAGTGGCCGGGGTCGATGGGTCCGGCGAGCAGCTCGGCCTGCTGCACATCCGCATCGCTGATGGCAGCCCCGTTCACCACCACTCGCCGCTCATACGTCTCGCCCTCCCTCGCCCCGCCGCGCTCCCCCGTCCACTCGCTGGCGCTGTCACCACTCCACTGCACGCTGCCCCCTCCCCCACTCCACTCCGTGCTCGCCCCCCCACTCCATTCGCTCCCCATGCTTTCCCCCACCCACCCCTCCCCCTCCCTCTCCTGCCCCTCCCACCCTTCTTCCCCACACTCTGCCCCCCCACCCCACTCGCCCTCGTCCCCCCTGCCACTCACACGCCCCCCCACATCCTCAGCCCCATCCCCCTCCTCTCCGTCTCCCTCCTGCCCACCGCTGCTCATACCTCCCTGCAGCCGCCCCTCTCCTCCCCCCGCCCCCACCACGCCATTCACCGCCCTGCCTGCCCCGCGCGCACCTGAGTGCGCCTTGAGGGGCGAGGGGGCGGGGTTGGCTCGAGCGCGGGCGAGGCGGGGCGAGGGCACGCTGAGGGGCGACAGGTCTCGTGTCACATCGCCCCGCCTGCTCCCCACGCCCTGCCCGCGCCCATGCCAGCCACCCCCCGCCCCCCTCGACCCACTCTCCTGGCTCGTGCTTCTTGGAACACCCTGGGGGGACTGGGGGGCCGCCCTGGCCGTGGCGCCGGGGGAACTGGGGGAACCACGGGGACTGGAGGGGATGGCGGGGGGGAGGCGCGCGAGGGGGGAGGAGAGGGAGCGGTAGGGGGAGGCGAGGGGATACCTGGGGGATGGGCTGAGGGACGCTGATGGTGAGGAGGGGGGGTGGGCGGGGGCGAAGGGCGGCTGGTAGGGTTGGGAGTGCGCGGGGAGGGGCGGGGCGGCGAAGGTGGAGACCTGCTGGCAGCCGCCGCACCGCAGCTTCTGCGTGCCTCCCTGCTTGCGCCGCCGCGGCATGGGCGGCACGGCGAGGGCTTGCGCGCAGTGTGGGCACTGATGGGGGACAGGGGGAGGCGGAGGGGGAGGCGGAGGGGAAGGGACGGATAGATGGAAGGTGGTTTGGGATGGGAGTTGGGGGTCATGGACAAGGCCTATCCCAACGTGCCCTAGAGGTATTCCGTAGAAGCGCGGTGGACGGAAGAGGCGGAGACAACTGGGCAAGATGGAGTGCTCTTAGTATGAGTAGATAAGGGTTGCAGGCGGAGCAGAGGGAGTGGGGGAGTTAGGGAGTGGTGATGGTAGTAGTATGAATTTAGAGCGAGATGTGGAACTATGTATGGGGCCTTACCTGCACGACTTGAGGGGCGTCAGGAGGCGGCAGGCATGGCAAGTCAGCACTCACTGCTCCACTGTCCTCCCTGGCCTCTTTCACCACCTCCCCCTCGCCCTCCTCAACTCCTCCCACCTCGCCTTGTGTCCCTGCGTCTCCCACGCTCCCTGCCTGCCTCACAGCACCACTACCCTCCACATCTCCACCTTGGCTGCCCTCCCCTCCACCCTGCACGCTACTACCCACAGCACCGCCTTCACTAGAAGCCCTTTCAGCAGCAGCAGTGGCGGCATCTCTCGCCGCCTTGCCTCGCAGCCCCGACTTGCGTCTCTCCAGCACGCTGCCGGCCCCTCTGCCCGCGCCCATGCCGCGCCCGCCGTGCCACTCAGGCAGCAGGCGCGGGCTCTGCAGGGCGTCAGCGAAGCGCGACCGCGGGGTGGCGGGAATGGTGGGCACGGCTGCTGGAGGAGGGGCGCCATTGCTGCCTCCTGCTGTTGCAGCGGCAGCAGCGGCCTCTGCAGCGCGTTTCATCTCCATGTACTGCCGCCGCGTCACCTTCACCTTCGCTGGCCCCTCCTCCTCCTCCGCCGTCGCTCCACCATCCGCCCCCCTGCTCTCTCCGTTCGCTGCACTCTCCCTGCCCAATCGGCTGCCATCTGCCTCTCCTGCTGCAATGCCCTCCCCTCTCTCCAACTCCTCACGCGCCTCTGCTGCTCCGCCCTCCGCCCTGCCACTGCCCCTCGCCTCCTCCGCCCCTGCATTCCCAACTGTCGCTGCATCGCGTGCCACCGATGCCATGCGTGCTGCAGCCTGCGTGGCTGCTGCCCCCCGCATGGGTGACCCTGGAGCGCTGCCAGTGGCGAGAGTGCCCACCATGCCGGCCCCGCCTCTCACTTCCCTCTCACTCTGAAAGCTGCGTGCTATGTGGCGACTGCTGGACACTGCAGGGGAGAGCGGCGAACGGGAGAGTGGCGAGGGGGATAGTGGTGACGGGGAGAGCGGCGCACCTGCTGCTGTATCTGCCTGCACGTCCTCTCCCTGCAACACCCCCTCTTCGCTCTCGTCCCCCTCGGCGCCATTACATCCTGCCCCGTTTTCCCCTCCTGCGCCGGCTGCAGCTCCAGCCAGGCGGCGAGGCACGGAGAGCGAGCGGTGGAAGGAGGAGGAGCGGGGCGAGCGAGAGGAGGGGGGCAGCACGGCGGGCGAGAAGTGGAAAGCCATGGACGCATGCCGCACTGCTGGCCTGCCGCTGCCACTCTCATCATCGCATGTGCCTCCCTCTGGACTCCCGCCTGTGCCACTGCCCATGCGTCCACTCGTGTGCGATCGGAACAGCCCCGCTGCCTCATTGCCCTCCGTGGCGCCCTCGTCTCCCGCCTGCATGCCCCCTCGCCCCATCCCGCCCGTGGGGGAGCGCCGCGAGTCCGTGCTGCTGCGCTGCATGGGAGGCCCACTGCCGCCGCTGTTGCTCATGCTGCTGCGCGGGGAGGCACCCGGCTTGGCCTCCCACAGCGACTTGAGCTTCGACCCAATGTTGATGTTCATGTTCATGTTGCGCCGCTCCCTACCCCGAGCCCCCTCCCTCCCCTCCCTCCCCTCCCTCCCCTCCCTCCCCTCCCTCCCCTCCCTCCCCTCCCTCCCCTCCCTCCCATCCCTTGCCTTCTCGTCACCCTCGCCTGCTGACGTGGCAGGCAAGCTGCCCTGCCGGTCCAGGTCAGCAGGCTGGTGGCAGTCATTGCCCCCCGCCCCTCTCATCCCCCGGGGTTCAAGCTCCCCACTGCGACCGTCGCCTTGGGAGGCAGCGGAGCAGCGGGGCGGGGCGGTGTACTGGCGGGTGAAGGTGCCTGCGCTGCCCTCCTCGCCCTCGCTGCTCTCACCCTCGCCCTCCCCCGCGCCCCCTCCTCGCCCCGCCCCCATGCCCGACCCCGCACTGGCCAGCTGTGCAGCGCTGCCCTCCTCGCGCTGTGCAGCGGGCGAGGCGTGGCGGGAGAAGAGGCGGCGCAGCGACATGGAGGGGGCCAATGCGCCTGATGATGCCGATGCTGGTGGTGGGGACACGCCCCCCCCGCTGCCACTGCTGCTGCCGAACCCGCCCAACCCTAACCCCATGCCCATGCTCGCGTTCATGCTCGCACTCATACTCAGTCTCCTCCCACTGCCTCCCCTCCCCCCCTCCTCATCCATGCTCCCTCGGCTGCCCTGCCGCCCGCCCCTGCTGCTGCCAAGCCCGCCATCCATGCTCTGGGTGCATGCCACTCCCCCGTCCATGTCCCCCCCCATACTTCCGCCCATGCTCCCGCCCATATCCCCCTCTGACCATGCTGCATCTATCTCCGCCCACCCCTTCGGCCACACCACCGCCTCCCCTTCTTCCGCCTCCTCTCCCTCCTCTCCCCTTTCCTCCCCTTCCCTCTCGCCGCTCCCCTCCCCCTGCGCCCACCTCCCGCTCCCCCCTGCCCCCGCCCACATGCCAGACCCCAGCGCCCTCCTCCTCGCCGCGCCTGCTCGGGCGGAAGAGCGCGGGGAGGGCGTCTGGAGGGGGCTAGCGTGGCGGGGCAGGCGGGGGGGGAGGGTGGACTGGCGGCCAAACGCGGCGGAGGGGTTGGGGGGGCTGCTGCCTGTTGCCACTGGCGCACCCCCCTCGTCCCCCTCGCCCTGCCCCCACTCCCCACTGCCCTCCTCCCCCCGCCCGCCAGCCTGCGCCCATGCCTGCGCCCCTCCGCCACTGAGCTCCTCCCCCCCGCCCCTGCGGTAAGGCGTGTCCGCCTGGCTGCCGAATCCGCCCTCCCCTGGCTCCGCCCCTCCGCCCTTTCCCTCTCCCGCCCATGCCCCTGCGCCTGCCTCCGCGGGCTCTTCCTCCTCCGCGCCCTCGTCCCCCCACTCCGCCATCTCGTGCCCAAACAGCGTTGCCCGTGCGCCCGCCCCGCCGCGCCCAGCAAAGGAGGCGGAGAGGGCGCGCGGGCGGAAGGACAGGGACGAGGGGTCGGCGGAAAGGGAGGTGCGCGGAGAAGAGGAGGCCGCGGGCGCGCGGGGGGAGGAGGAGGCGGGAGTATTCTGAAGCGCGGAGGAGGAGGCGCCTTGCGAGAGCGACTTGGAGATCTGCGGGGGGCGCGGAGGGGTGGCGTGCGGCGACGCGAAGAGAGACGGCGGGGGGCGGTCCGCGCTGTGGTTGCGCGGAACGGGGGGGCCGCGCGAGTGGGGCGGCGGGAGGGGGGAGAAGGAGGCGGACGAGCGCCCTCCGACGTCAATGCCGACGGGGTGGCGCGGCACTCCCCCGTACACGGCGTGGCGCGCTGCGCGCACGAGATGGGGGCAACGGGTGCCGGGCAACGGGTGAATTGAAACGGGTGAGGGGCACGAGAGAGCAAAAGCGAGGGCCTTTGGAGAGAATGAATCATACGAGCTCATATAAACTATCGGAAAGCGCGTTGCGGGGGGTGGCGCGCGTTACCCTGCAGGCCAGTCATGCAGCTTCCGCTCAGAAGGGGGGAGCGCCGGGGGGAAGGGGGGAGAGGAGGGAGGGAAGAAGGGGGGAGAGGAGGGAGGGAAGAAGTGGGGGTGAGGAGCGCGTTACCCTGCAGGACGGTCATGCAGCTGCCGCATTTGTAAAATGGGTTGCCCGGCGGCGGCTCTTGCAGCACGGCGCGGCAGCGCGGGCACTGCACCATGCGCGCCATGCCGGCCCGCGAAGCGCGCTACGCGCGAGGCGAGGAGAAAACGGAGCGGAAAGATAGCAATGGCGGGATGATGGCGTGGCACGCGGCACGCGGCGCAATGTGGCTCCGAGACTAGCGGAGCGGCGAGCGGCGACGCGAGAGCGGAGAGCACGAGAAAACGCTGAAAGCGGCGGTGGAGGAGTCGCATGCCGCAGGCCCGGCTTATGAGTCGCGTCGCACAATCCGAACTAGGTTGCTGCCGCGCCTCAACAGCACGCTGGTGGTTGTGTTTGTGCTCCTAGTGTCAGCGCTCGTGGTGCCAACTGTGATTTTCAGCGAGCAAGGCCATACAGCCACTGGCCGTTTGACCCAGAAAAAGTAAACCCTCTTCCATTACCTAAGAGTTTGCTCTACTCTTCCTAGTTTCACAAACCTAACTTCTCTTCAATGAGTCAAAATCCATGAAGAGACTCAAAATTACTTTTTTCGTCTACCTTAGTATATAACGCTTTAACGTCCCATGTCATAATCCCAGCCACTAGACCACTGGGACAAAATGGCTTGTTAAGTAGCAAGTCAGCGCATGCGCCCATAAGGGCGTGTGTCTTTTGAAATTTATATGCAAAACTCGAGTTTTTAGTTGACATGTACACAGTTGAACCAAGGTCGACCTAGGCTCGACAACATCGGCAGCTGTAACCCTAGTCTCAACTCACAAGAATCACATGACACATGAAATTTTGACGAAGTTGAACTTCCCAAGTGTCAAAATGAGGAATGGTTGTTCCATTGATGTTGGTTGGGGTACATATGACAAACCCTAACTTCTGTACCCCCTAAGACAAACCTCACTACAGGCTACAACATTTGACACATCCCCATAGCCTAAGTGAGGGGTGTCTAGCAAAATCAAAAAGAGTACGGTCACAAGACCAGTCCAAAAGAAAACAAAGCTCAGGGTGGATCACAACGTCACCACACACTCTGAGCACAAGCAACAGTGGCCACAAGGCCAGTCCAAGAGATCACAAGTATATATAGCAAGCGTACAGACGAAGCAGGCAATAAACTCAAGTCTACACATGACTAGAACCTGTGTCAACAAGGCCTAACTGCACACAACACCTCTGGTGGTCACAAGGCGGAAGCGCCTTGGTGAAGATGTCTGCAGTGTTGGCCTCGGACTCCACGAACTCGAAGCGAGCCTGTCCACGTCTCTGCAACTCTCGCAGAAGAAAGTACCTGACGTGAATGTGCTTCACTCTGCTCTCCAGTCGCGGCTCACGACAGAGGAGGATCGACGCCTTGTTGTCAGTAAACAAGGTCGGTGCAGAGCTCGGCCGCTCACCAAGGTCGGCGAGCAAGAAGGTCAACCACCGCAACTCCTGTGCCGCCATGGCACCAGCGTAAATCTCAGCCTCAGCTGTAGAGGTCGAGACAGAAGAGGAGCGCGTGGAACGCCAGGAAACAGCTCCAGAACCCAGACTGAAACAGTACCCCTGAGTAGACCTGTGAGTCTCAGCGTCGTCAGCGTAAGAGGAGTCACAGTGACCAGTGAGTACGACAGACTGCTGCCCTCCAAGAACTAGCCCCACGCCTGATGTAGTCGCTAGGTACTTCGCCACCCTCACAGCTGCCGTCCAGTGAACAGGACGGTGTCTCCCTGGCGCAACAAAGCGCGCAAGGATGCTGAGAGGGAAGGCGAGGTCCGGGCGAGTACAAGTCATCAGGTACATGAGGCAACCCACAAGCTCTGCGTAGGGACCACTAGGCTCAAACGGCTCGTCAGGAAAGGGACCAGTGAGTCTGTGGTCAACAGCGAGAGGTGTGCGCTGTACGGTGGAGTGCTGAAGCCCGAACCGCTGAAGGATCTGCTGCACCATGTGTGACTGTGAGAGTGTAATGGTGCGAGCGGCTCTGTCCCTGGTGATCTGCAGGCCAAGGTAGTGGCGCAACTCACCAAGATCAGTGCACGTGTGTCTCTTCTGCAGTTCGGACTTCACGTCTGCCAAAGCAACCCTGTCCGGAGTGGCGAAAACGAGGTCGTCGACGTAGACCACCCCCAGAGGCAGCACTAACACCAGCTCCAGACCCAGGCGCACCAGAACCCGAAGCAGGCGCACCCTCACCCCCAGAGGGAGCACCCCCAGAGTCCGCGCGGCCAGCACCGGCTCCCGGACGACAAGAGTCCTCTGCACCCACCGGGTCAGCTCCAACTCCAGAACCAGAAACTCCAGCTCCAACTCCAGCACCCCCAGAACCAGAAACTCCAGTGCCTACTCCAGCTCCACCTCCAGCTCCAACACCAGCTCCAACTCCAGCACCCCCAGAACCAGAAACCGGTACAGGAACAGGCGCAGCACCAACCTCTCGAGAGCTAGCACCAGCGGCACGCTGCGAGGAGGACTGTGGGGAGGGAGGCTGTACCGGAGGGGCTACCGAAGGAGGAGGGGTAGCCTGGGACACACCTGACGGGGCTGGGCCAGGGGGGGGAGGCTGTACCGGGGGAGCAGGAGGGGGAGCGGCAGTCAGGAAGAGGGGGGGAGGAGGAACCGGGAGACCTCGACTGGGGTACCTGACGTAGTACGGAGTGGACTCCTCGAAACAGACGTCACGGGAGTCAAAGAACCGGTGAGAGGGAGGGTGGTAAAAGGTGAAGTCAGAGGAGTCCTCAGGGAAACCAAGGAAGACACAGGGGACGGCACGAGGCGAGAGCTTGTCCGCGGAGGTGTCGCGGACAAGAGCCAAGCACCCCCAGACACGAAACCGCGACGCAACACCAGGGGACCCTGTCCAAAGACTGGTCGGTGAAACCTCTGGTCGAGAGACACGTGGCCAGAGGTTCAGCTGGTGCGCGGCGTACCTGACCGCGTAGGGCCACAGAAAATGGGGGGCACAGGCGTGAGTCAGGGAGGTGCGGGCGATCTCCATGACCAGGCCTATGCGGCGCTCAGCAACCCCATTCTGCTGTGAGGACTCTGGAAGCGTCCAGGACTGACGAATGCCCTGCTCGCGACAGAATCCAGCGAGAATGCCGGAGCGAAACTCACCCCCACGGTCGGAGTGGAGACAGCTGACACGACGACCACGAGTGTCCTCGGTGGTGAGCAACCACCTGATCAGCGTAGAAGTCACCTCAGACTTCTTCGCCAGTGGGAACACTGTGGTGTAGCGGGAGAAGTCGTCAACGACCACCAGAAAGTAACGCTCACGCTCAGGGCCTAGACGAGGGGCGGGGCCCCAGACGTCCAAGTGAAGCGTCTCAAAAGGCTCGGTGGCCGGACGAAGGGAGAAGGAGTGAGGGGTGGCGCGCAGCCTACCCTCGACGCAGGGACGACACGGCGGCGCAAGCGAAGGCGGCAGCGAAGGCAAGACACGTGGGAGGCCTAGGACAAGACGCTGGCTAGACATAGCGCGCAGACGAGGAAGGGACGGGTGCCCCATCCGGTGGTGCCACAGAACGGTGGGGTGGGCAAGCGACCGGCAGGAGCACGACGCAGCGACTGGAACAGACGTAGGAACCTGACACGACACAGACACCTGGGGGGACGAAGCAACCTGGTGAGACGCGGGGACCCGAACGGGGGGGGGAACTGGGGGCAGTGGCAGTAGGGGGGGCTGCTGGTGCGGCCGCTGGTGCTGCTGCTGCTGCTGCGGCTGCTGCTGCGGCGTATGTGGGTTAGTGTGAAGAGTGTAGAGACCCGAGCCCGGCTCAGCAGTAAAGGTAGCAAGAGGCTGGTAAGAGTCTCCGTCAACACACACCGCAGTCTCTCCAGAAGGCTCAAACCACACACCCACGTGCTGACTCACGAGGGGTCGCACGCCCACCAAGTTCCGGGAGAACGAGGGGACGTGAAACCCAGTGAGAGACCCGGAGGGAGCAGCAGGACACGGTAAAGTGGTAGTGTGACGTGCAGTGACTGGTCCCGTAGTGGGATCAGCCAACGCTACAGAAACAGGCGCAGGAAGTGGTGTAAGTGTCGTGCTGTCCCGGAAGAAGCAGTGGGAGGCTCCAGAGTCCAGCGTGAATGACAGCGAAGCGTCCCCTGAGGTAGTCGCTGGTCTAGAGTCTACACAAGTACCTACACTAGCAACAGGCAACTGAGCAAGACTAGCACCTAAGCTAACAACACCAGAGTAAACAGAGTCAGAAACTCTAGAGTCAACAACAGCATACATAGCATGAGGAGCACTAATCAGATCAACTAACTGCTCAGCAGACATGCCCCACAGAGCTGAGCCGTAGCGCTGAACCAGAGGAAGCCAGTCAGGAGCAGGACCGCCAACCCCGTAGGTCAACCGGACCGTGTCAGAGAGCTGAGCAAAGCACTGACCAGGGGGGTGAAAGCGGCCACAAGGGTGGCCCCGACGAGGACCTGTCTGAACCTGGTAGGGGCAGGGAGGGTAAGCCGCACCGCGCTGGGGCTGACGCAGCCCCGACCCCGGAGCCAGCTGCTGACGCTGCTGCTGCTGAGGCTGCTGGGAGGAAAGGGGCTGCTGCTGCTGCTGAAGGTACTGCTGACGCTGAGCCTGGTACCACGCCGCTGCTCCACCTAGCGGGGCCGGCAGTACAGGAGGCGACTGACGAGCTCGGGGGTCGCCGCCACCAGCAGGTGCAGTGGAGTCACCAGCCGCTGCACGAGGGGTCTCTCCAGACGCTGCACTCCCACCACCCCCAGTCGCAACAGCACCCCCACTACCTCCGCTACCTCCGCCTCCACCTCCACCAGAACCACCTTTCTTGCCCCCCCTGCCGCGGGACCGCGACGCAGTCGTAACAGCAGCCGCAGTCGCGTCAGTAGCGGCAGTGGCAAGAGAGGCAGTGAAGGTGGGTAACTGCGGGACTGTGCACCCGTGGAAGAGTGGGGGGGACACAGTACCAGAGGCGGCAGCTACCGAACGAAGGTTGCTCTCGACGTCCTTGAGTGCAGACT